TTTTGTAATCTGAATTTTTTTTGGATATAATTGTGTATCAAAATTTATTTTATTTAAATGTAACTCATGAGATCCCAACCGAAGAGATATTAGTTTTAAGTCTTCTAAAATTGATTTTTCAATGATATTGGTATTTTTAGAAAAGTAAATGAGGGTTATATCATCAGCAAAAAAACTGATAAATATTCCTGGAGTTTTTTCCCAACACAAAATAACGATTTGGTGTTGGAAAAAAACTCCAGTAATATTCATTACTACACCAAAGGTTCCAAACAGTGCATCACAAAAAGACTGATAGATTGAAATATAATTTATATTTCTCTTTTTTCCAGTCCGAATGCCGAACCGGGACCATCCTTCACTTCGGTAATCGAAAATCTCGCAAACAAATCGGACAGTTCAACCGAATTTTTTTCTGATTCAACAGCAAATGAGTCCAAAGAGTTAGACTCTGTCTCCTCGTTGAACCTGTCGACAATGGGAGAGTTGATCAGCTGTTCCGAAAAAGACGACGCTTCCGCGACCTCTACCAACTGGATCGACATGATCGAAAAAGCGGAGAAGATGCAGCAGCCGCAGAAACTCGATTCTCCGTACCGCACACGAGAAGCCGAGATCAATGATTGGAAACCTGCGTTTCCCATCGACAAGAGGGAGTTTTACGCTTGGATAACCTGCGCCGAAAACGAGGGGTACCTATATCTAAGGGACGAGAGCTTGCAATCTGTCTACCAGGAAATGGAGAGTAACATCAAGGAATATTTCGAGAATCAACCTCCGATCCAGGAGAAGCACGACTGGCAACCTGGGCAGCTGTGCACGATATCGTACAAGGGTTTGTGGTACAGAGGAAAGGTTTACAAGGTCAATAGTCCTGATGATATTGTGGTGGTGATGATCGACTTCGGAAGCGACCATAATTTGACAGCAAATGACGTGAGAATCATAATTTTTTTGTTTATCAATTAATTAATCACAATTGGTATAAGACATGTCAAAAATTTGGAGTATAGAGACAAAAAGCAAAATTACAGAGTAGAAAGTTAAATGTTGAAATGATAAGTACAAGTACAGAAAGCAAAGTATAGAATGCATCTTCAACTAGTACTTTTTTCAGTGACTTCTTGAATCTGAAATAGGTAGGTTCATTTGTGATGTTTTGGGGAATTTTATTAAAAATTTTAATTCCGATGCTTAGAGGACTGTTTTGGTTCAATCTGTTTAGAGAAGTATTCAGCAAATGCTGACTCCTGGTGGAACGACTGTGAATGTCATTATGACAGATCAAAGAATTTCTATGTTTGTAAATGTAACAAGCAGTTTCAAAAATGTAATGAGAAATAAGGGGTTATACTTGTAGCTTTCTAAAGAGAGGTCCACTAGATTATGTTTGAGGTTTGCGAAACTTGGCACAAAAGTACTTTTTCTGTGTAATGAATACACGTTCGGCAGCAGGTGACTTTGTATGCCAGTCTCGACTCTCAACTAAATTACGCCCCTTCAATATCAATTTTCCATCACAAAACAAGAAAAAACAATATATTTTGAGGATAACACACTTTATTTACAAAACATTCAAATGAAGTCTTTTGTGCATAACCTTTTTGCAAATGTTGACTTTTGTTTATATGTTCCCTCATAAGGAACCAACATTAATCCCTCATCATTGCTGCATCCCATCTGCCTTGGTAACGTTGCTCCATTGTCAGTATGTCTTGGTTGAACGTTTCCCTTTGTTTGTCACTGACAGCACCCAAATTTTCTGGGAAAAAATTCAAATGGGAGTGCAAGAAATGGATTTGAGAGATATGCGACATCCCATTCTGCAGTAGTTTTCAAGTAGTTCTTCTACAAGTGTTTCGTAATTTTCTACTTTGTTTCCTAAAAACCTCCAAAACAAATCTTTTGAAAGAACTCCAAGCAGCTAATTCAACATTACCTAATTTTTGATCAAACTGTTGAGCACTTAGTTTTCTAATTTGTGATCCAGCAAATATACCTTTCTTGAGCTTTGCATCACTTAATTTTGAGAAAACGTGTTTGAGATATTTAAACGCATCACCTTCTTTGTCTAATACTTTTACAAAATTTTTCATTAACCCCAGTTTAATGTGTAATGGTGGTGACAAAACGTTTTTGGGATTAACAAGAGGTATATTGTTCACGTTAGCTTGACCTGGAATATATTTATCTCTCGGAGGCCATTCTTTTACATCAAATATTAGTAAGATTTTTGAAAAAATCATATATAATCGTCTTATATCCTACCTTGAAACATTCGAACTATTAAGTGATACACAAAACGGTTTTCGAAAGGGTAAATCGACAACAAGAGCAATTTATCAAGCTTTATGTTCAGTCATAAATAGTCAAAACAACAAGAAACATAGCCTAATGATCAACTTAGATCTTTCAAAAGCTTTTGACAATGTCAATCATAAAACATTGCTAAATAAACTTGAGGCTTATGGAATCAGGAGAACCTCAGCTAACTTAATAGAATCATACTTATATAATAGAAAACAGTACATGATCGAAAAATGTCACATCACAAATGAGGTTATAAGGTCTGATGAACTAACAATAATTAGAGGGGTACCACAAGGATCAATTCTAGGTCCATTGCTGTAAAGGTAAAGAAAACAGCAAAACTTCGCAAATCCGCCCTGAAGACCTAGTAATAGTCCTGTGACTTTTAGGTCGGCACATATTTGCCACTTATACGTAGTATAACTTATTGCATTTCAGATAAGTGACGTACTTTCGTGTGTTTGCTTCATGGCAAATGCATGAGCAAGAGGAATAGAGGTTATTTTGTTACCATTATAGAGCAAAACGGCGTTCAAACTTGTTTCAGACGCGGTGTTGCCAGATTTTAAACAATTTCCTCAATTTTGGGGAAAAGCAAATTTGGAATGTCGTGTTCGTTAAATTTTTGTGAAAAAAAATCATAACTCAAAAATCTGTCGTGTTAGGAAATTTTTACTATCATTTTCGCATTTAGGCAACTGCCTTTGGCATTGTAGTCATAAATTGGCTGTAAACTAGTGAAATTCTGATTTCAATTTCAATTTTTTTCATCTCATTAAGAGACGTACTGTAAAATTTGTTTTTTATCCAATTACTCATCTCTGACCTGCCATATATACACTATGTATCGCATATGGTGAATAAATATTAATATCATTATAATTATTTCTCCAGCTCAACAGACAAATCATGTTTCCTTCGATTCCTGCTTTCGCGTCAAAGATCAAACTCGATCGAGTATTCCCAAAATCGGAAACCTGGTTGTCCTCCGATTACGAAACATTCCTCGATATCGTAACCGAATATGCGAGGATTGTCATCACAGGTCCCCTCGAAGCGAAAGTTCCCTTGGCGGAGGTGTTCACCGACAAAGGCGTCAATGTTAACCAGTTGTTGGTGAAACTTTGTCACAATCTAACTAGGAGCGAGAAAAACAACGACGACAATTCAGACGACGATGGGGTGGTCATCGAAGAAGAGGCAATCGAAGGGATTGTAGAGGAAGATGTCGCCTCAAATTTGCTTAAAAAGGTAACATTGAGGAACACGAAGTTGTTACTATTTTCGGTTTATTACGACCGGGTGTAACTCTTTCGAAACTATATTTCAGGATTGTTGGATGGGGTTTGTAGATTTGTATAATGATAACTTTATTGCAGTAAAATACATGATGAGAAGTTGTACATGCAATCAATCAATCAATCAATCACTGTACTTTATTGTCTAAGAAAAAAATCTTATTGACAAAGCATATGAAAACAATACTATTACACAAAATAACATACACATATATATACATACACATATATAACACATATATGCACATATATACACACACATATATATATGAAATACAAGTTATCAAGTAATTCAAAAAATAAAACCTAAATCAGAAGCTGGTCTCAAAGCCTGTCTTCAAAATATTCGACAAGTAAACAAGTAAACAAATAAACTCACATGCCAGATACAGATGCTGAACTCAATTATTAATTGTTAATTGCAAATTGGAGATAGTCGTCAATAGTGTACGGCTAAGTCTACCAGAGTTATTGAGAAGAGATTTTTTTTGTCATTTATGCTGTATTTGTATATCAAATATCAATTTGAAATATGTATGATAATAACACATTAACCTATGAATCGCACGTCAAAATTTAAACTCTCGTTAATCCTTAGCTCGCACAAGTTTCTACTTCTGAGAGTTCGTGGGAGACGACAGCTGGTTAACAGGAAAACAGATTTCAACAGCATAAAAAAGTGAATATTTTGCAATGAAATTTCGAATATTTATATCTCCCAACTACCTACACTATAGGTTCTGGTAAATGCCTGCCGAAAAACAACTACTTCCCCGGCTAATATCACGCTGCTAATTGAATTATATCCAACAGACACTTATGCAAGATACCTCGAAGAGGTATCTAAAATAAATATTGTTTTTTATTTTATTTATTTACAAACTCTACAGACCATGGCCCAGTTACAGAGTAGGAAAGGTAAATATCACAAATAGATTTGTACATACAAAAAAATTACAAAAAAGTTATAAAAAAATATTCAACAAGAGTTATATACAATTTCATACAACCTATTTCTAAAGCATTATTATAGGCATTGCACATAGCATTTTGATAATAATTTGTTCTTGCCGATTCAATATAAAATGTGCGAAACGATCTAGTTTCATAAGAAGGTACATTGAAATTGATTTTTGATAGAAGACGGGGATAATCCACTTCACTATGTATCATCTTTTACAAGTATATGTTGAATACATGTTGGAAACACTGTCTCTTATGTCTGCTAAACAAAAGATAACGCTGAATATGCTAATATTTATATTTAAAATTAAACACAATATGTTGCCAAATTATCTGAGTGATCAGTTGACCTACACAAGTAGTATTCATACACACTCCACTAGAAAAAGAATAGTAAATTTTTATATCAACAGAGAACATATAGGTTGTGACTCGTTGTATAGTTCTAGTCTGATTGCATTTAATAATCTGCCAAGTCATATAAAAAGCTGTGATTCATTAAATTCATTCAAAAGAAAATGTAGTGAATATATTTCAAGTAATTGTCATCAATAATTCATCTTGTTTACTAGTTTCTTGTTTTTGAAATGTGACGTCTCTAATTTTATATATATTTTTTATTGTTTTGTATTTTATAAGTGACTGACTGTACTATGAAGAGCATTATTTGATAATAAAGAGTAATAATAATCATATATTAAGTATGCAAATACTCTTCTTTTCTCGAGGGTTTGTATGTTGTACTTTTCAAGTAGCACTACTTTGGAAATATCAAGGTTGACCTGTTTCTTTGAAGTGAAGATATCTCAGGAATTTGTTTTGAATTCTTTCGATGATATACTTGTGACAGTTATATTGAGGACACCAGATAACGGAAGCATATTCCAAAATTCTTCTAATAAGAGTGATATACAAATGTTTGATGCAGGTAATATTGTTGAATTGCCTAGAGTTGCGAACTACAAACCCATATATCTTTGAGGCCTTGTTTGTTACATTCAGTATATAAGATCTGAATGTTAATTCGTAATCAAAAGTAACACCAAGATCTGTTATTTCTCAAGTTCTATTGAGTTTTATACCATCCATCTCGTAGCTGTATGTTATACTGACTTTTTTTCGGGAGAAGGTCATAGTATTACACTTTTGAACGTTGAATAACAATTTGTTCTTTTTTTGACCATTCAACGATATTATTTATATCGTTTTGTAGATGTACACAATCTTCAACTGTTGATATTCTTCTAAAAATGTTCAAGTCATCTGCAAATAACAAATAGCAAGATGTTGTGATATTTTTTACAAGACTGTTGATAAATAAAATAAATAACAAAGGACCCAAGTTGGAACCCTGGGGTTCCAACCCCAGTAACTAGTAACAGTTCTATCTTGTGAATGAAGGTCCAAGTGGGGAAGAAATATCCCATCTACCAATACTCAGAACAGAAATCAACACTGACTGAAGACTGTATCGAGGAGAGATATATGTACTAGAAAATAAATATTTCGAAATGAAATCTTGGAATATTTATTTTCTTATACGTATGTATCTTTCGTCGATACAGTATTCAGACATATTCAGATTTTAACAGATTGCGTAAAAAAGTTTCATTTGGACGAGATTCCCAAAAAGATTTAACGTCGAGCCCAGTTTAACGATCTACACAAAAAAAACTATGTTGGCTGATGTAAAAATGCACAAGTGGGAATATATGGAAAGAAGTCGCTAAAAGAAACCACGTACAAGACAGAGTCAATATGTATTAAATTTAAAGTTACCATATGCCAATTTGGTGTCGTAATTTCAAGTTCTTCAATCAATATTTTCAAAAATTTTCTATAGCAGTGCCTCAGTAGACGCACTATTTACAATGTTACTGATGGCCTCTGGGACTGTTTAGTGAAAATTCACAATAAAATGTTTTTTGAATACATTAGTTATGGATTTTCATCAAGTTCTTTTTTAGGAGTTTGTTGGACTGGTTCTCAACTTTGTGATAGATCACAGTTTGTGAAAATTAAAGAATTTATCTCTCACGAGATATCTGTTACCTCAGGAGTACCTCAAAAAAGTCACTTGGGACCTTTTTTCTTCAATATCTTTGGACCAATACTCTTCCTTCTATATGTGAGCGACTTACCCAAAGCCTTCAATCTTTGTAGTGTATACCAGTTCGCAGATGACACATCAGTCATTATCACTGAAACAAATGCATTAGAACTCTCAACCAAAGCTTCAGCCATGTCAAATAGTATAGTCAAATGGTCTGAGGCAAATATGCTTGAATTAAATATTACCAAAACAGGACTAGTAATTTTTAACAAATCAATAAACTGCGAGGAATCTCTATATGTAAAACTCCAAAATAGGTCTATTCCAATATCGGATCACACTAAATTCTTAGGTGTCACGATGGATGCAATCTTCAGTTGGCAAACCCATATAAATTTATTGAATAACAGATTATTTTGTGGTGTAATATGATACTTAAGGGATCAAGTCTCTGTTTGTAGCCTGAGAACATATTACTATGCACATGTGCAATCATTGATTTCATATGGTATTATATTTTGGGGTTCTTCAGTATACTCACAAAAAATATTTATTATTTTATTTTTTTATCACAATTTCATTTTAATTTTCTCTATGTATGTTGATTAATTAAATATATAGATACTAGAATAGTCAACTTTCTAAGGTTAATATATTGTACAAAAATTGGGGGTTACCCGTTGAATAAATAAATGTATCTGCCAATTCCATCATATGGCCTATGGGGACATTTTATCAATCAATCAATATACTTTATTGTCGGAAGATTAGTATCTTATTGACAAAGTCTTGTAAAAAAATCAAATGAATGTCATAAAATATAAAAAATACAAAATACAATAGACATAAAATATAAAAAATACAAACATAGCAATTACACAAATAAAACATACATTACATAAAATATAAAAAATAAAAACAGCAATGTCACAATTTATGGATTTTTCACATGGCCTGATAGACAAAATTGCTTAAAATTGTTTGGCCTTGAACGTATTGAATATATAAAGACTTTCTGAAGTTTTTCATCTCCGTGAAGTTTGCTATACACATTGTCTTTTAAAGAACACTTTGAGATGATCTTCTAATATATTTATAAAAAGCAGCAAAAGCAATATCAGCATGTATTAGTAAAGTTTGCTTAAATTTGTCCTGAAATATCTGCGAATTTAAGTCGAATTTGTATTCTTTATTTTAGCCGGAAAAGCTGCCAACTCCAGTGGACACGACCAGCTTTGAATACACGGTCGAAGAGCTTCCTGAGAAGGCAGACACCGAGAAAGTTCTTATGTCAATACTGTCTGTATTGTCATATAATAAGGTAGTTTTAAAATTGACTACAGAGGCCTGGAGAGATGAATTGTTTCTGCTTAGCAGCGAAATACAAGAATGCGTGGATAATCTGCCAGCTCTGACAACATTTGAGGTAAGGGTTTCATTTGATCAAAAAGCCTTACTGGAAAATTCAACCAGAAAGGAAAACAAGATGAATGAAAAGAAGAAATGAAACGCACTCTAAGATAATAATTCAATTTTAATATGTTGAAGGATAAAAGGTTCCTGTGCCACCACTCTTTAACTTTTATTAATGCGAATTAATGATATGATGAAAATCAGCTTGCTTATCATTACATACCATAGTGTGTGTGGTACCATCGGCGAACAGGGTGACATTTCTTGTAATGTCAAGCGTCGTCAGGTCATTAACATATAGTAAAAACAAAATTGGACTCAAGACTGATCCTTGCGGAACACTACATTGTATATTACCTAAACTTGAGTTGATTTTGTCTTAACTACTTGTGTGAGGCCAGATAAATATGTCGTGAACCGTAAATGTGCTTTATTTCAAAATCTGTTACGGTGAATGCTTTAAAAAACCGTAACTATACCTGTAACCACCAAAAAAGTCCATGATATAACAATGGCAAACTGATATATCATAGTGGGTGAGGTAGTTGAGAATATAAACGCGTTGATCATGCATGTGCATGACATAATGGATGAACATTTGGATTTGAGAAACCTATTATCTGCGTCACTTTTTTTAAGCACATTGTGTCATCAAATCTCTGGCACCATATTCAAATGCGTTATTTCAGGTTATTTCAAAAGTTTTGTCCCTTTTAATATCATGCGCTATATATATAAATCCTTTATTTAGTCAAAGACTAATAATACAGGTCAGTGAGTAACAGTTTCAAAAGAAATCAATAAAATTTAAAAATATAATTGATTTGTTGTCACTTGTAGATTGTCATAAAACAATAAAGTATATATACAGTAATGTATACAGTAATAAAGTATATATACACACTCATACATACAACATTGTTAATTACTAATTTACGTCTCCTCTCAAATATATTAGCATATTGCTTGTTCTTTAAACGTTAGTCCATAGTCAACTATAATACCCAAGTATTTGGTTTTTTTCACTTGTTCGATTGGGTTCCCGCATAGTTTGATTTCCAAATTCTGGCTTGGCAGTGTTTTAATCTGGTTTTCTCTTGCAATGAGCATACATTTTGTTTTATTTTCATTTATTTTGGGTGAATTACTGCAACATCATTTATGAATACAATTTATTGTAGAGTTTATCGTTTCCGTCAAAATTCCATGGTCTGTGGAAGAAAAAAAGATGAGGATGTCATCTGCAGATAAGTGGATTTCACACATTCCAGCTTTTCCTACTATATCATCTATATAAATGGGGAAGAGTAAAAGGCCGATAATACTACCTTGTGGCACCCCAAATTTATTTTCTATTTCGTCGGATTCTATGTTGTTCAGAAGCAACTTTTGTTTTCTATTATCTAGATAATTTGCAAACCATTTCAATGCTTTACCCACAATACCGATACTTTCCATCTTTAGCACTAACCTTTTTCTATCCACAGTCTCAAAAGCCCTCTGTAGATCAAGGAATAGTGCACCTACTAGTTTATTTCCTTCCAAACTTTTTTTCCGATCATCTAAAACACATTGAAATGCTGTTTCACAACTATGCTTGCTTCGAAAACCAGATTGAACACTATTAACTATGTTGTTATCTTCAACATATCTTACCAATTGTTCATACACTACCTTTTCTAAGATTTTTTCAATCGAGTTTAGCATATTTATTGGTCTATATGATATCGTGAAGCAAGTTTTGGACAATTTTTCTGTATGAATTCAAATTGAACTAAAGCGCTGCTGAAACTGCGTGAAAAATTAACCGGGTTGACAATGATAGTGTTAATGAACGTTGGTTTGCGAAATTTCGTTCAATAATCCCTGACGAGGATTCGAAGATCCTGGGGGAGACTGACCGATCACAAACGATGCGTGAGATTGCAGAAAATTTGAGAGTCAGCTCTCATGCAGTTTTTGATGATATAAAGCTCATTGGAAAGGTCATTAAGTGCCCCACAATTTGAACGATCGACAGAAATTGTCACATTTCGAAGCCTGTTCTTTGCTTTTGCGCAACCAAAATGCAACCAAAACGATATTTTTTTTTAATTGGATCTTCACGTGTAATGAAAAGTTGATCCTCTGCGACAACAGGAGCCCCACGCCCAGGCACTCCCCAAAGGCGTAAATCGACCAAAAAAGACCATGGTTACCGTATGGTGATCAGGCGGCTGGTGTCTTTCAATATACCTTTCTGCAGTTAAGCCATACCATCACAATCCGAAAATTAAACGAATGAGTGTCGGAAGTTTTTTGCATCGCCCACCAAATTCCCAAACCTTTCGCCAACCTTATGTTGACGGAATTAATTGACTTTTGTTACATTGGCAAAAGTGCACTCATTCAAATGTCGATTATTTATATTCAATTTAATTTGTAGTCACTGGAACCGTTATTTCAACACCTCGACACATATTTCGATCACCAAGTGATCGAAGTTCAAATTGTTGTAGTACTCACTCACTGAGACATTACAGATAAGACTCATAAAACGGGTAAAACTTTTGAAACAACCTGATTCTTTAATACATTCTCGAATTGAAAAAATATATAAAGTAGTTTGAACAGTGATCATTCATGTGTTTTTTCTTTTTTAGGTTGGTATGCCATGTGTGTGCCCCTATGTCGAAGACGGAATTTGGTACCGTGCCAAGATATATAACACTGACGGGATAGACTGCAACTATGTTTTTGTCTTCTTTGTCGACTACGGCAATATTGAATCTGTACCCATAAAAGACATCAAGATGATGAAGCCTGAGTGGTTCAATGTGCCTGTTCTATGTCACATGGCGAATCTGAATATCAGTCTGAAGAACGAGAGTCATGCCAAGCATGTGCAAGAGTACATAAAAAAGCTGTATGGGAAAAACAAACTGGGGCAAATCGTCAAGAGGTACCCCCTCACAGTCGATTTGTATGATCCGGACGATACCTTGTGCTACCAGTCATTGATAAAGAGCGGGTTGTTGGAGGTTGCTGAAAAGTGATTGGCATTTCTCTATAGGTCATTACTGTTGAGAATTTTTTTTAATTTGTGATAGGTTCAAGTTAGTTTTGTGTTTTATATGAGACTTTCTTTACGGTGTAAGTGTATGTTCACTTTGGCAAATATAGTTACTCTTTAAGCAAAGTGTTTTTTATTCAGTTTTATATTTCATAATTGAAAAATAACAGTTTTTGAAAAATTCTGTCTGCGCATGGCATAATCGGTGCTCTATCTTTATGAAGAAATAGCGATTTGAAACTTGTTGATATTGTAGGGTCCGTTTATTTTACAAATGAGTTGCACTGAAAGTTCATAGACTTTTTTAAAAAAGTTCATTTCATGGGATCTTCTTTGTTTTTCTCAACAACATGAAAATTATCCATCGATTCCATAACTGAAATGGTTCTAAGAGGACATAAAAAAAATCTTCAATTAGAGCAAAACCTTTAGCCAAAAAATAATTGATGAAAAAAGTCAATTAATTTCTCCATTGTAATAACAATTTTTCAAAATTTCTTTATCATTTTTTGCTACAGCGTGTTTATACGGTAAGTATATATATATAAAAATCATTCAAGAACATGTGATCTGTGATCTTGGACTAAAAACACAGAACACTGAAAACTTCTTCCTATCTTTTTTATGGCCTATGTTTCCCTTAAGACGTAGTAAACCACATACACCGAAACTTGTTTCTGTGACTAGTGGCAGATCATCGTCTAGGTACGACACCTATTGGACATTTTCAAACTATGATAGACGGTAAAGCAAAAACAAAAGTCTGTCATCTGTTTTCATATATTGTAGTTTCTTATGCCTACCGTGGGTAAAAGTCATTTTTTCATCTATCGGTTTCTCATTCCTATAATAAACAAACCTTTCACAATTGAATAATACAAAATATCCCAAAACAATAAACATAACCTATGTTCAACATTCAGTTACTTCGATCTACTGTAAGCTGTTTGAGTAGCGCCATCATCGTCAAAAATTCCCTTCTCATTGCATTGTATATAGACTATCCTTATGAGGAATCGACAAAGAACTCAACATCAAAAGATAAACGAGGAAAAATTACTTTCTTTCAATATGTATTATAATACCTATTTTCTTTCGAATGCAACTTCAGTTGCTTTTTTTGACACATGTAACCTGAATATAGCACGTTTTGTTCAGGAATAGTATCCCTGTTTTCAACAATGACATAATTACTGTCCAAAGGAAAGCGACTCTTGCATTACCCAAGATGCAAAATATTGAAGAACCCAAATCATATAAGATGAAGAGAAGTAAATAGTAGATCTGTTGCTTCTTTACTATAACATTTTTATTCGAATGACCGAATATCTATGGAAATATAGCTTATTTCACAAAGTCATAATGAAGTTTTGAAACATTAACCTACTGAGAACATATAGGTTGTGACTCGTTGTATAGTTCGGTCTGATTCCANTACAACATCTTACGGTTGATATCTTACACTTTCCAGAGATTTGAAACAGATGGCACGACTTCTGCAAATCTGAAATAGAGGTGAGTTTAACATTTTAAAGTTTTTATTTTAAGTCAGCATCTCTGTAGCCATGAACCCATTTGTCTTTATGACGAAAATCACCTGCAAGGGTAAGGGAGCTAGGCTCTAACTTGATTAAACTGAGGATGAACTTGGTTGTGCAAGCGAAGCCGGGCATTCATCATAAACCGTTTCGGGCTAGAGGCAATGTACCGGCCGAAGGAAGTGAAAGTAATGTATCGTGATAGAACATTCCCTGCTACAATCAGTTAGAGGCATTTCTTTTGGAGGTTCTCAAGGTTACAAGTGTTTCTCATAAACTCTCATAATTCAGCATAATGTAGCTTGCAAAAGATTGCTGAACGGTAAAAACCAATCATTGAATATTAAGTTTATGACGTATATCAATCGGACCGGCTCATAATAAGTTCGCATGATTTGACTTCGACCCTGGAAACGTTATGGAAAATCGTAAAAAAACGTGAAATGAAAATCAACACGCCAATGATTCCTTTTATTTTCATACAATCAGCACTTGATATAAAGATCCAAATAATTCTCTAGACGGACTTTTTTGTTTATTTTGTTCTGTGGCAGGATTCTTAAGGCAGCATTCGTCTTCTCGTGACTGTGCATGAATGAACAATTCCTGATCTTCTTGAACTCTCCGAAATCGTTCTCATTATAAAGTGTTTTATGAATCTTTTCATTGAACCAACAGAGTTGACACAAAAACGTTTCATGGTTCAAGTGCCAGTAGTCCCCTTCGCACAGATTCTGGCACTTTTGACACGTGTCCGTGGGTTTGACAACACAAATCAGTTCCACACACGGTACCATTGTCGGTCTACCGAAATTGCTCATGTACCTCATTCTTCTGCACTTGGACACCTTTCGAATGTCGTATGTTAGCGGACCAGGAGTGCTGCTGACTTTCATTTCTCTTACTTTGCTGCTGTTGTTGAAGGGAGCAAAATTTCTCTTGGGCAGTTTCCACGAGGGTACGGGGGGTTGGTACCTACCTGGGGAGGGGGTTCTGAAACGTATTTTCGTTTTGAATCTGTTGTCCTTGCTGGCCAGGGGACCGACTCCTGCTTTGCTTCGAACCTGCGAAATAAATAGGTTGTCAATAGGAAAAACATAAAAATAATATTGATGTTCCGACTCCTACACCATAAGTTTGAGTGGAAAAAGAGTTTCAGAATATCATGCAGTTTTCCCGAGGAACTCATCAAGGATGACCGTGTCGAAAAGAATGTTACATTTTCCAAGTTTTGTTCTCAACTAGTCAGCAAAGACTGTCCTTCAACTTTATAAATAGATAAGTACTCTTCTTGATCATCGTCATATTGATTTCAATTTCAAGAGCCACCGCTAGACAGCTGTTTAAGCTGTTAAAATGATTATTCAAGATTACAATTGATATTAAAATTACAATATCTAGTCATACACATTCAACGCCAACGAACGATCATATAAATGCATAGAAATAAACGCATAGCTACTAGATGTGCTGAAAGGTTCGTAGGCTAACACACAGATGGCGCTTTTAGTATTAAAGCCATATGATTTTTAGTTAACCCTTGACAGATGTACAAATTTCACAGCTGTCGAACTATTAGTTTGTGGGAAGTAATAGATTCAGTGAAGCAACTTTCGTTAGTTTGGAGAAAATGTATGAAACGGAATTTCGTGTTAATAAAGAATTGTTTCTGGTGAAAAAAAAACTGTTGAAGGCGAAGCTTGGCTTAATAATCATAAACCGAGGACGATGCACGCAGTTAACATCCCAAAGAGGGTGTTACCGACGAAAACAAAAGTTCACAAAATAATTTTTGGATAACCTCAAAGTGGAGATGATCGAGATAGCTGAAGCTCTGAAGATATCAAAAGAATGTGTTGGACATATCGTGCATGAATATTTGGGTATGCGAAAGCTCTGTTGAAAGTAGGTGTTGCGCGTGCTCATAATCGACCAAAAACAACAACTAATTGATGATTCTGAGTTTCGTTTCTGACGTGGTGGTGGACGGACGTGCTGACAGCGACCGTCCACAAAGAAGGCACGCGGACGCCATTGTTGGGGACGAAACTGTTAGTGTTGTGAATGTCTGCCGTCATAGAACGTGCCATCAATAAATTAAAAGTATTTTGTGAAAGTTTATGAGTGTAATAGAGAAACAGCACTCCCATTCACGCCGGTTGGAGGCCGGGGTGGACCGGATGTCCACGTGGAGACAGGATTTTAACAAATAAATGTGTAATTATGTGGAAAAAGTTTGGAAGTCTCCAAAAAAATTTCAAGTGTTTTTAATATGATAAAAAATTTAGACAAAAAAGGGATGGCAGCATTGCTGCGTGCAAGACAGCTGCGCCCTCTCGAATCGAGCTGGCTAAATGCGCCTATATGGAAGCAAAGGCCAAGAACTTTAAGTGAAGTGAATGGATGATTCTCAGCACCGAAGCTGTTCCACCATAAAAACCGAATTTATATGTGAAAATGGATGAAACATGGCTCCATCATTTCACACCAGAATCATAACGACCTTCATCTGAGTGTACTGCACGTGGGAAGCCGACTCCAAAGCATTCAAAGATGCAACAGTCGGCTGGAAAGGTTATAGTTAGGTTAGCTTAGGTTAGGTCCAAAGTGAGTGGGACTATTCGACCCTCCACCGCAACTCGCAAGAGTTTATTGTGGCTCACACCTATTCGCACTCGACCAAATAAACCCAGCTTCCTAACGAAGCCGATTAGTTAGTATGGTGAGTGGTCTTTGAGGTCAGATGGTGAGAGTACGGCTCTGTCGAACTCTAAACACCTGATTCGGTTCCCAACGGGGCAGGCACAAAGTATGTGCTCTGCAGTTTCATCATTTTCCAAACAGAATCGACACCCACTGTCTTCCGATAGTCCGAGTCTCTTCATATGATGATTCAAATGACAGTGACCTGTAAGAAGGCCTGTTAGGCATCGTAGTTCATCCCTACTGTAGTCCAACAACTATTTGGTATCAAGCTTCGAAAGGTGTTAAACGTCTTAGAGTAAGCCAATCCTGGAAGATTCTGCCAGAAGTCCGTAAATCTTCTTTCCATCCAGGTGTTCAATCTTTGTTTGGCAAAGCCTAAAGCGCTGCCAATGACATATTCTGGTCCGATGAAGCTGCTTGCACCACTCTACTTTACAAGGGAGTCAGCAGCCTCATTGCTTTTCAGGCCAGTATGGCCAGGAATTCAGACCAGAGACAATCTGTTGAGCCTTTCTATCGAAGAAAGTAGTTTTTGGCAATTTGCTACAAATTTAGACGTTGTAGGAGCCAATAGCTTCCAACGCCGCTTGACTGTCTACTATAAAAATGGTATCGAAAAATTATATGACCGCTATAATCATTGTATCGCCCTCAAAGGCAACTGTGATGAATAATAAAATCAAATTTTCTAAAAAAAATGTCTACGTTAACCTACTAAATTTTCAGCCCAACATCCTTAGCCGTACTCCAGATAAGTATACTCATATTCATATAAGAGTAGACCATGGCGTAGTAGATTTAGAGCAACCCAGATACGTTCAAACTTGACTTGGCGTCTTTATTCATCTTAGCGCAAGTGTGATCGACTTGTCTTTTCCTATTTTGAATTGGAGTATTTTGACCTGAGAATTTGACTTCAAAATAGTTTTCAAAATCACTTATAATGGGAGTCTCTGGGTTATCTCTACCTACATGAAATTTCAACGACACAAACTTGATGGTGTTCAAAATAGGTTTGTTCTTTTGACTCCATTCGACGATGCTTTCAGATTTGCTGACAAGTTATTCAGCAACCCTGTCTATTGGAAAGTATTCCGAAAAGGTCCAATACTTTGAAATCAGAAATATTTATACGAAACCTTTTTTGATAACTCCACTCAATCTCAAATTCCTAATGGAAGCTCGATGTAAAAGGAAGAGACTATTTCTGTTGATATATCTACCTTATTCAATACTTCGTACATTGCGGAACTGCATTCTTCAGTATGGTAACATCCTGGTCCAGTTTTCCAGAAAAGTTCCGGTGCTAGCCTCAACTGATGCGGTGACAGTCCTCTTCCTATGAGGCCCGTGTACCTGGGCAGTTTCGAGCCGAAACATAATTTTTCGCCTCTTTGGAGACTCACCACGTAATCAAACTTGGGATCGTCAAAGTCCGATTCGGTCAGAACAGGTTTGAAAACCATCGCATGAGAATTGTCAAAAATGTCGATTTTTCGGAAGTTTGGGGAAGACAACCTGGGATAGCAAAGCCAACTAGAACGGAAGAAAAAGTCGACAACGACCGGTTTTATAATTTCGTCCAGGCTGTGACAGTTTAGTGATTTTTGAATGTGAGCGTGAGATTTTCATAGTTTCACATTTGTCACAAACACATTTTAAATTCCATTGGAAAACTTACATATTGCAATTACTAGTATTTTCAGCAATAAGGCTGACAAGTGGGGTAATTACCTCCATGGGAGACTTTTATTAGGTTATTTCTAAAGTTTTGTCTATTTTAATGTGATGTGTTTTTGTAGCACCATATCTCAATAAATATTTATTCTTCTGTGTCGTGGTATATTTATTCTACTGTATCGATAGAGAATTTTGAACTCTATACATTGATGACGTTGAACGATTTTACGCCAATTTTTCTCTACGAATTCAAATTGAACTAAAGCGCTGCAGAAACAGACCGAAAAATCAACCAGGAAATTAGTGATGATAGTGTTAATGAACCCTGTTAGACGAAGTGGTCGACCTATAATAATCCCGGACGAGGATTTGAGAACCCTGGGAAAGAATGACTCACCACAATCGGTGCGTGGGATTACGCAAGAACTGTGCGTCAGCTCCAATGCGGGTTTTGATGGTTTGAAACGTATTGGAAAGGTCAAAAAGCTCGTTGAGTGGTTGCCTTACGATTGTTACGTTACGAGGTCTGTTCTTTGATTTTGTGCAACCGATCCCTTTTTGGATCAGATCGTCACGTGTGATGAAAAGTGCATCCTCTACGTCAGTGGTTCTTAACCTTATAGTCATGCGGGACCATTTGACAAAATTTCTGTCAGGCCATGGACCACCAAGTTGGTTAATTAGTTTGTAGTTGATATAAAGTACCTTATGATAACTACAAATAAATACAGTACAGTAAAGTAAATAAATGGAATGGTTATTCTAATTTATCTATAAATAAAATACACATAAAATTATTTAATGTCCTTTAATCATTAGGTAAAATCTGTAACTGTAACAAAAATTGCATTATAAATTATTGCGATTTTTGTGGTTGCATACTCTTTACTAAATTCTGAATCCTTGTTTCAGTGTTACTTAAACTTAAATACATATCAGCAGTGGCATCCAACCGATTTCGGTGCTTGTTTTCAATAATCAGAAGCGCCGAAAACATAGATATTTCGAAGAAAATAAAGTTAGGTAACGAATAGCAATGTCTGGAAGTTTTGGCAAAGAAATTGTCTTTTGGCTCCAAAATTCTTCAAGATTAATTCCTGATTCGAATGTATCTTTTGAGTTGCTGTCGTGTAGCATATCAATTACTTCTTCTTGAACTTCATCAGGCACCTCAGGAACGTTTACAATAAATGAATTGCGGATAAGTTTTTGAATACTTTTATTCTCGCGTTCGGGAAAATAGCGATTGAATTCAATTTTTAGATTTTTTAAATGTAATATGTTCTTTTGAATTTATCCTTTAATTTCAGCACTCTGTTCATCAATAATTTGATTAAGCTTATCAAACATAGAAAAGTTATTACTTTCGACTTTGTTGATCCATAGATCGATTTTAGCGATAAACGCACCGATTTTATCTTCATAAGCAAAAATATTGCTCATGCCTTGCAAATTCGAATTTCCCGACCCTTGCAGTAGAAGGTTTGGGTTCAGTTGCGCAAAAAAATCGTCCAAATAACCAAAATGTATTTGAAATTTGGACTCGCAAAACTGATCAAACAACTCCTTGTTTTCCTTGTTAGTTGAAATATTTTTACTTCCTCTCTTTGTTCGTACAACCTCAACATCATGTTTCCTTTGGGAAGTCAACGCACTTCCGCGTGGAAAAGCAAAGTTTCATGTTCAGAGTTCATATCAGAACACAATTGTTTGAAGAGACAAGTGTTGGGTGCATTATTTTTAATGAAATTTACTAATTTTATAGCTGTTTTCATCGTCAAAGCAAAGCATTCTGGGAGCGTCTTGGCAGCTACTGCTTGACGATGAATAACGCAGTGCGTCGTAATTGCGAACGGATTTTTGGTTTTCATCAATGCTGCAAGACTAGAGCGAGAACTAAGCATAGCAGGAGCACCGTCCGTACATAACCCCGCAAGCCGTTCCCACATAAGTCAATGTTTCTTCATATACTGACTTATTGCATCCATAATATCTGCACCTTGCGACGTCGTTTCAAGTTCTTGAGAAAACAGTGACTCTTCTTCAAACATTTTAGCGGCGGGTCGCATTGTATCGTGTCGTCTCATCTAACATATTTATCAGGATGGCTCCGCGGACCGCTTGGGATGCTTCCAGGGACCACCAGTGGTCCGCGGACCACCAGTTAAGAACCATTGCTCTACGACAACAGGAGACGTTCAGGACAGTGGTTGGGCACCGATGATCCATCCAGGTACTTCCCGAAGGCGAAAACCTACCAAAAAATACCATGGTCACTGTATGGTGGTCTGCGGTTGGTGTGATTCACTATAACTTTCGGCAACTTAGCCAAACCATCATAGCAGAGTTTTATTGTGAGACCTTCGACGAAATGTACCAAAAATTGCGTCAGCAGCAATCGGCATTGGTCAACAGATGAGGTCCGATCCTGCTTCACGACAACGTCCGTCCGCACGTTTGTCAAATCACCGTCCGAAAATTAGCGTCGAAGTTCTGCCTCATCCACCATACTCCCCAGACCTCTCGCCAACCGACTATCATATTTTCCAGCACTTTGATCATTTTCTCACCAGTAGTACCTTCAATCAATAAGGACCAGGCAAAGACGACTTTGGTCGACTTCATCGAATCCCCAGCACACAGTTTTCATGCTGACGGAATTAATTGACTTGTCTTACGTTGACAAAACTGCACTGATTCAAAACATTCACTGATATATTACAGTTTGAAACAGACACATTAAAATGGACAGAACTATTGAAACAAACTAATACACTTTATTGTATGATTTTCACTATAAAGGGTTTTACAAAAACCTCGACACGTGTTTTGCTATACAATAGCTTCCTCAAGCATACACTAGTTTATGCTTGAGGAAGCTTCCTTAAGCTTCCTAGTTTATGCTTGAGGAATCTTCCTCAAGCTTCCTAGATAATGCTTGAGAAAGCTTCCTCGAGCTTTCTAGTTTATGCTTGAAAAAGCTTCCTCGAGCTTTCTAGTTTATGCTTGAGGAAGCTATTGTATAGCAAAACACGTGTCGCGGTTTTTTAATATGGATTTTCATCAAGTATCGGTCAGTTCTATTCAACTTTCACATTTTCAGCAATAGGTAAGGCTGACAGGCAGGTACATATCAGAAAAACGCGGCAGACTGTGGCTGCTCAACGTTTTGAGGTTCAACCCAGCACATCTCGAACTTCAATGTTTGAGAACTCTTTCATTTTGAGAACTGCATTTTTGTGAAATGATCCTTGTAAGGACGGTTTTCCAAATGAATTTAATCTCTATCGATTCAAATCCAACGTGAATTGCTACTTTCGCAGAGGCACCGCTCTCAGAGCGTCTTAAGGATTTTCCGTAGTTGTGTTTTGCCTTTGAAAAGAAATCATTTTCAAATGTTCGATTTGTGAAAATAGTGAAATATATATTGAAATTAACCTGAGACGTAAATTAATATTTTTACGTTCGATATTGAAATAAACACTGCTATTGAAACACATGCGTGTGAGATACATGTGTGAAATACATGTATAATCTCAATTCAACGGAAACATTTCTTCTGGTTAAAAAAAAATGAATGACCCTCTTTNGATTTTCATTGGCAAATTTTGATACCTTTTCAAACAAGTTGGCTTCACCAGAAGGTGTATTTTAATCAAACAAAAGGCGTACCGAAATGCTGTGTTTTGGACATTCGAAATTGGGTACATTGATTCGTTTTGCATGACTTCAACAGCCATTACCGAAAATATATGAACTGCTTCACAAAATCATGTGTTTGGTCCTCTCTGTATTATCTTGTTCAGCAAGTCAGTACCACTGGCGGTACTATTATTCCCTACCCATCGACTCCGGTAAATGAATGTCAGTTGAAAATCCGGCAAACAGTTGCCCACGAGATTCTTTGAGGTGTTTTTGTACGTGGTATTGCGGAACTTTCTAATAAGTAAACAAACATGAATTGGCAGACGTATTCTGTGCAAACTGTGCTGGTCGTTTTAGGATACTTCATAATAATTGGTGAGGAACGATTTTTTTTTTATAATATATTTTACATATGAGTGTTTGCATTAACTATGTACATTTGCTTACAACATTGGGATTTCTAAAAATTGTTTGCCTTGAGGTTGAAAGTTCAGACCAGATACTTTTGTTTTCTTTTGGGAATGGTAATAAAGGACCGTC